AAAATGGCATAATTGACTATAATGCTCATCCACAAATAAGATTCACTGTGGTCTATCTCAGTAGCAATACTTTCAATCAGGAAACTGAGGCAAAAAGAGGCAAAGTGATATGTCCCAACTTTACTCAGTACATAAATGGAACAGCAGGTTTTCAAACCCAGGTCAGTCCAACACAAAGTCTATTTCCTTCGGACCGCCCATGCTACCCATATGTGCCTATTCAGGTCCGTATGATCACGGTGGGTGTACAATTTGCATATCAAAGTAGGCAAGTTTCTTTCAAGTCTGAGTAGGTGCACACTGGTATGGACTCCAGGGATTACTACCAGAGGGGTGAGCTTCTTTAGGTACAAATATTTGGCTAAACATGTTTGTATAGCCTAGCCCCAGAGCATGAGAACAGTTTCCATCTGGCTGTGCCCGCTAAATGGTGAGGCACCAGGGACTCAACCCAGCTCACAAACACTGGCAGAATAAATGAGTGAATAAATGAATAAATGTACATAAAAATAAATGTCACCAAACAACAGTGATTCTGGCTGGAATTTTATTTCAGGTTTCCCGTGCCCATAAGCAGGTTGGGAAACAGTGATCTTTCTACTTCAATTTCATTACTTTTGCATCCTTTTATTTTATCTAGACCAGAAAAAGAAACAGTTGCTAATTTGGGAACCTTCGCCAATTGGGGAACAAATTTAATTCCATTATGTATCTGCTCACAGGTATTCTACAGTATTAAATGTTGCCACCAGAGAACTGTAGAATAGGAAAGGTCACGTGGTTTAGCCCTGACGCTTGGGAACAAACTCTCCTGCAGCTGTTCTAGGGTTTTGGAAGTCACTGCCTTGCTTTGCTTTCAGTACCCTCCAATATCAGTCCCCAAATACCAATCCACATGGCAGCAGGAGGTCCCTGCTTTGCAGGACAGTTTCAGTTTTACACAGATCATTATTAACAGCAGCCACTTTCACCCTCAAAAGTGTCTTGGTTTAGACAACGTATTATATAGTCACACTTCCTAAGCCCACAAGTATTTATAATATGCACTCCAAGTTTTGGTTCAAAAAACCTATTTCCATTTTTCTCTGACACATGCTCATGCACGGCTCACGATTGCCACCTCCTTTGTACAGAGCTTGCCCCACCTCTGAGTTTGCTCGTGTTCCTCTTCCCTGCCTGAAACGCTCTCCTTCTTCACACTCACTTATGTCAATCTTACCCATCTTTCAAAACTGAGCTCAAACCCCATTTCCATGAAGCTGCCTCTGTCTGCTTCAACCCACACTGACTTCTTCCTTCTCTTAACTTCTACTTGTGATATTTGCTTTGCTAAAATAGGAAAGGAGTGAAAGGCACATCGTAGATGATGGATTTACTCCTCCCCTGAGCACTCTGCCTGTATTTTGTTTAGGAGCCTGCAGGTAGTACCTGGTTATGGTAATTTAGTCCCAGCCCCAACAGGTAGGCTTTCTTCAAAGGTGGTTCATTAAAAGAAATTAGAATATAAATACATGATCTGCTTATGCATACTTCCCCCCCCTCAAAACAAACAACAACAAAAAAAAAAACTGTTGTTCTAAGAAAACTGCAAACAGAGCATTTAAACTAAAGACTTGCCTGGAGAACTCTGTGTCTGACCTCTTGCCCAAAGCAGCTGTGCTTCCCCAACTACAGCATCCTTGAAAGATGGCCAAACATGTTATCCACAAATACACATCCCTCCAGTCAATCTCTCCAGGCACCTTGTTCCCTTACTGGGAATCTCGGACTGACTAAGTGCTTTCTTATCATAGGGTATTTCTCAAAGTTAGGTTTGCAGACCATCTGCACCAGAATTATTTGAGGTGCTTGTTAAAATCACAGACTCTCAGCCAGGTGTGGTAGCTCACACCTGTAATCCCAGCACTTTGGGAGGCCGAGGGGGGTGGATCCCCTGAGGTCAGGGCTTTGAGCCCAGCCTGGTCAACATGGTGAAACCCCATCTCTACTAAAAATACAAAAATTAGCTGGGTGTGGTGGCTTGCACCTCTAACCCCAGCAACTCAGGAGGCTGAGGCAGGAGAATCCCTTGAACCCGGGAGGCAGAGGTTGCAATGAGCCGATACCACACCACTGCACTCCAGCCTGGGCAGCTGAGCAAGACAACATCTAAAAAAAAAAAAAAAAAAAAAAAGGAAAAATCACAGACTCCCAAGTCCAACTCCAAGCATACTGAATCAGCATTTGGAGCAAAATGGGAAACAGGAGCGTGCATTGTTAGGTTTCCAGGTAATGTTTGTTTATTGTTATAAAGCTAGAGTCGGTGGATTCTACCTCTATGACTTTTCCATTTTTAACAACAAATAGCAAGTCACTTCGCTTTTCTTCAAATTAACTCTTCAAATACTGGAAGACATCTCCCTGCCTTTGCTCCTAATACTCAGTTGTAACCCATGTAATCTAACATTTCTTTACAACAAGCTTCCATCCCCTAAGCCAACCTGGGCACCCCGCTCTGGGTCCTCTGCTGCTTGCTGATGTCTCTCTCAAAATGGGATGCCCAGAGATGACACGCACCTCACAGTGTGAGGTGGGGACAGAGACTGAGAGGATTTTCAGTGCTTTCAGTACACACTGCCAATTTTGTGAAGGACAGTGTATCTACTTATACTCCTGGCAGCTGATGATGAGCCCGTCCATTTCAGCCTAACCCAACCAGCAGTTAAGTATTACCATTTTATAAATCTTTGCTAATTTAATAGGCACATGAAGTTGACCCCTGAGTTGTTTTAATTGGGATGCCTTTGTATTCTTCAGATATCTATTGGCAATTGGTAGTTCTTTTGTAAATTTTCAGCCCTCGTCCTTCCTGGGTTTTTTCTTTTTTTGCCTTTAATTCATTAGGTCAGTTGCTGAGCCAAGTAAGCCCTTTCTATGTATCATCTCACCAAATCCTCAAAACAGCGTTTCCCCCACTTCATAGGCAAAGAAACTGAGCTTTAAGAAACTTACAGAAGTTAGGTCTTCAGCTTCCTTACTGATTTATTCCTTCATTTAACCAACTTTTTTTTTTGGAGGAGAGTTCTTCATCTTTCAGACATTTTGTAATATAAGTTAATAGGGCCAAGTACCTGGTATGAAATTATGAGGAAGCTTCAGAAGGAAACTGGGAACGTTCTCAACTCTGTTTCTTCCTACTTCCAGCTAAAATTTCCTTTATTCCCTTTGTTGCTTTTCCTGGCCTAAAGGTATTAGTGAACAAGTAATAATCGTTCAGTGGATAGCAATGCTATTTACTGATAGAAGGTTTAAGGAGAATATATGTATCTATTCATATATTTGCCAAGAGAGGTAGCCATCCCCTAAAAAGTAACAGAAAGGGATTAAAGGGAGCAATTTGGAAATAAGGGATAACTCTGTAAAAAATCATAGTCCATCATAGAAATTGTTCAAAAGTATATATGCAAGTAATACTGGCTTCCATTTTATATTCTCTTAAATCCCAAGACCAGTGTTTACGCAATTAACTAAGACCCTAATGTTAATTCATTATTTACAGCATTTTAGTCCAAACAGCTGAGATTCTCATGGATTTGGTTAATTTAATCAAATTTCATGCAATTATACTTTAATTAAAAATACATACGCATAAAGTTGAAATCCTGATATTTAAGTCAATTAAATTTACAACAAAATTAGAAGAGTTGCAAATGATTAATTACAGATCTACAAACAAAATTAAAAATAATTTAATCCTACTCTCCATTTTAGAAGGTAGCCAAGGCCCACAGGTCACAAGTTCTCAATGTCACACACTGAGCAGTAACATTGCGATTCAGCTCCAGGTTTCCCGACTTCCAATCCAGAGCCTGTTCATCTGGGTCTTTCCCTGACATTGATTCCCAACTTCACTTAAACAGGCCCTGTTCTCCCCAGAACACTCAAAACTCTCCAAATGAAACTTACAAACTAGTAGTTAAAACAGCTAAAGCAACGAAAAAGATCCTGGTTCTGGGACTTTATGCTTTCAGGCAGCCTGGTTAAAATCATTGGGGGCTATACACATTCTTCCATAAGCTTTGATGGAAACTCAACTTATTCCATATTAGTTATTAACAAACACATATTCCTTCACAATTTCAAGGCCCTACATTTTGCTGCAAATATTTCTTTCACGTAATAAACAAATATTTTTTTTTAAAAGCATTATATGAATTCTGGTGCTCATTTCCCCAAAAAAGAAGGAATACATCTTTTCTTTCTTCTTTACTATCCTAAGCTTCCCATTACTCTCTGTTTGGACCCACCATTTAAAACTACACACAAACTTTAAGTTCAATTTCTCAACACTATGGTTTTGATATCTCCACAGTGCAGCACCTGGCAGCCACACTTACCTCACAACATAAAGGGAATATTAACCCTCTAAATAGATTGTTCTAAATAGTGACACAAAGCAAATTTTAAACAACAAATGTTACTCCAATTGACCTGACTGTTGATTGTTTACATTATTTCTAGAATTGGATCCTCCAGAACTTGGTCTGGATTATTTGTTCGCCTACACCCATTCCCAGCACAGATGTTTCCCTGTCTTTCCACCTTCACCCATCAGTAAAGCCCCCACTGTGGCCACTCCCCTACAGACAGAGCCCCTTCCTCCGCACACAGGCCTTGGCCTCACCCAAACAAACCCTCCACAAGCAGACACTACTTCGTACACATTTACCCTCTACCCCACCACCAACACACAAAAACCTACCCTGGGCATCATTATAAAGTAACACATGACACCAAGGCCTGGCCTGCATAATAGAACCCTAAAACCATTACAAGTGACAACCTGAAAGCCATGTTAACTTGAAAAACTCTCTCTCTGTAAACCTTGAAAACATCCAGGAAGCTTTCCATCTCACAGGGACAGGCTCGTTCAGACCTCCCCTTGGAAATTTAGGCAAGGTGACCCCTCTATTCATTCAGATCCACAGGCCTTCCCCCAACAACACAGAGCCCACACTCACTGCAAATCTGACTTGGCAGTTCTCCTCTCCAAGGTAGCATAGGTCTCCCGAGACATTGGTCTCCAGCCACAGGTGTTCTCCATTCACGGCATTCTCCTGCAAGGAAAAGACCCACCTGACATCAATTTTTTTTTTTCCAGGGACAAGGAAGACTATTTCAAATTTAGATTTGGGATACAAGAAAGTTAGTGAAACAAAGGAGCCTAAACATTCCTCATCTGACCACTCAAAGTACTGCTAGAGTTGATTCTACTGAAATTCTAAAAAGGGAGAAATGTGTTTGGAAAAACTTTGAGCTATAACTAAAATAGACATTAGGTTTATAGCTGCTTTATCCATGGTGGTGGTCATTTTTGAAACATACTCAACAAACGGGGAAAAAACACCTCGAAACAGTTTGATGTCAAACTTTATTCACCAAGTCCACCACTGCAAATTTCATGACAACTGAGACTAAAATTATTTTAAAATTTGACTTTGCTCAGTGAATAAGCTTAACAAATTAGCTAAAAAAGAGGACGGTAGCATTAAAGTATTTTAAGTAAAGACAGTTTGAAAACACAGTTATACCAGTAACAGGTAAATTATATTTCTAAGGGCAGAGGCTTCTTAAAACTAAGTTCCTGTGTACTCAAAGCATAATAAGTTTCTACTAATTCACATCTTACTAATTCAGTAAGGTCTTCACCCAATTACTTCTCAATTTTTCAAACTAAATGTTATTGCTTCTAAAAATATTCATATACTTTGGATGGGGAACAGAGCTGCTAGAATGTATGACCTGATGAGCAACAATCCTATTTTACAGAAATGTGTGGAAAGGGGGAAGTAAACTTTTTTTTTTCAATAGTATGATGAATAGAATTCCATATTCCTTCTTATGGGATACTACCTTGGAAATTATACATTTATATATTAATTGTATATTTTGCTCGTTTGCTTAAAACGGGCTCTGAGCTGTTAGGAAAAGTATTGTATTAGATTAACCATAAAGAAACAAGACTAAGTCCCCATGTCTCACAGGAAAATTACTCTTGTTTTTACCTTACTCATCAGATGTACATGGGCATGTAATTATTTGTTATGGGGGATGCTATGGACTGAACTGTGTCCCCTCAAAATTCATACGTTGGCCAGGCTGGTCTCAAACTCCAGACCTCAAGTGATCTGCCCGCCTCAGCCTCCCAAAGTGCTGGGATTGCAGGTGTGAGTCGACCAGCCTGGCCAATGTGGTGAAATCCCATCTCGACTAAAAAAAAATACAAAAACTAGCTGGGTGTGGTGGTGGGTGCCTGCAGTACCAGCTATTCGGGAGGCTGAAGCAGAAGAATCGCTTGAACCTGGGAGGTGGAGGCTGCAGTGAGCCGAGATCATGCCACTGCACTCCAGTCTGGGCAACAGACTGAGACTACACCTCAAAAAAAAAAAAAAAAAAAAAAAAAAAAAAAAAAAAAAAAAAAATATATATATATATATTCCTATGTTGAATCCCTCACCCTCAATGTGATGGAATGTGGAGATGAGACTTTGGGAAGTAATGAGGTCACAGGGGTGGAGCCCTCATAATGGGATTAGTGTCCTTATAAGAAGAGACACATGAGAGATTCTCCACATGTACACACCAACGAAAAGCCATGTGAGTACACAGCAAGAAAGCAACTGTCTGCAGGTGAGGAAGAGGACTCTACCCAGGACTGGAATCTGCCAGCACCTTGACCTTGCACTTCCCAGCCACCAGAACTGTGGAAAATGAAGTCTGTTGTTTAAGCTACCAAGTCTATGACATTTTGTCATAGCAGCCTGAGCAGATGACTTCAATGCAATCATGTCATGGAAACCCATCTTATACATGAGCCACTTTTATTACAACCTACTCCAGCAGTGTCCACACCACAGCCCTTTGAATCTCAAAGCCTAGTACAGCAAAGCAGAAATATACACCAAATGGCCAGGAGCAGTGGCTCACGCGTATAATTCCAGCACTTCAGGAGGCTGAGGTGGGCAAATCACTTGAGGCCAGGAGCTTGAGACCAGCCTGCACAACATGGTGAAACCCCACCTCTACTAAACATACAAAAATTAGCCAGGCATGGTGGCAGGCACCTGTAATCCCAGCTACTAAGGAGCCTGAGGCATGAGAATTGCTTGAAACCCAGGAGGCAGAGGTTGCAGTGAGCTGAGAAAGTGCCATTGCACTCCAGGCTGAGCAATGGATCGATATTCTGACTCAGAAAAAAAAAACAGGAACCTACACTCCATGACATTTGCTGGGAAAAAATACCAAGTGTCACCCATCTTCTAAAATAAACGTATTTCTTCAGAATCAGATAGAACACATTTTCCTTTCAGGACCTAGTGACTCAAATAATTCTGGGGTGAGAACAACCAAAATTTGTATTGTGGCATGTGACCTAGGTGCTTCAGAATCCAAGAAAGGTGGATCCAAGTCCTAGACCGCAGAAGTGAGGCAGGAAGGCACAAGAGAAGGTAAAAGTCACTAGAGATATAGGTGTCAAGGGCTCCAGGACATAACACAGGGAGCCCCTGGGGTGGGAGTGCACCATCCACATCTCTGAGTGCCTCAAAACCATTCCTAAAGGGAGAGCAACACTGACCATGATCATTGCCCTCTACATCAAACGGTGGACACCTGTTCACCAAAACTTTTTCTTCTCTACTGTAATTTTTCCCTGTTGCAAGTTCAATTTTTTTCAAGGAAGTCAATGGGAAAATAGGCTTCACTTCACAGTCAATCTTGTGGGACAGCAGCAGAGGAAAGAGAAGCATAGCTAGGGGTTCAGAATCTAAAAGTTTTCAGATAGCGATGAATGACGACATTTTTTTTAAGAAGTAGAAAAGCACTTCTTTGCAAGGTATCCTGAAGAAATCAATCCACACAATCTAAAATATTCTACTGGGAACTTTTCTCCAACTCTAACATAACCATTTGTTCAGAATAATGCTTTTTCAATTTATTATTATTTAACTTATTCAGCAATCCTTTATTCAGTAACACTGGTGCCAGGCACTGAGATTCTGTGTTAATCAATGGAGAAAAATCTACCAGAGAAGATGGAGCTAAATGCATAACAGCAGCAGCCAATATGAGGGAAACCACAGTGAAATCCCATCAACTACTTTAGAAAGTGAAGCCTAAAATGTAGCAGCGGGTAAAAGGTCAAAACCTACTGATAAAGCAATGAGCTTTCAGCTCCAAGAAAGTAATCTCTAAGCCCATGGAACGTCCTGCCTGATAAGAGTGTTTTGTTTGTCTGAGGGCCTTGGGTCATAAGGTATCAGCTTGACCCCTAGAGGGGCTAGAGGCTAATGTCAACCAAATGGGCAGTCAACCCTGTCTACAGGACCAACCCCCAATTAAAACTCTGGACATCAAGGTTCAAATGAGCTTCCCTGCTTGGCACTATGCCATGTATATTATAGCACATGGTTGCTGGGAGAAGTTAGCTAGTGAACCATGATTCTACTTGGAAAGGACTGTAATAAACCATAAATGTGAGTATTAACAACTTTCAGGGAGTTCCATGAGTGTTTCTAGTGAGTTACTGAAGCTGAGTGTGGTCTTGGGGGTTCCCGAACTTGCAACTGATGTCAGAAGAGAGGGTAGTCTCAGGGACTCTTGAATCCTGCATAAAGTTGTCTAGACTGGGTGGCATTAGCACAAGAATGCAGTAGACAAATGAACTATTTTTGTTTTCTTCCTACAATTCTCATGAACCCTTCTCCAGATCCATGTTAACTAACATGAGCTTTGGAGTCAGACTTGTTGCCTAATAGCTGTATGACTTAGGGCCCTTCTCACTTCCCTAAACCCTATTCTACTCATCAGTCACATAAAAATCACTGTACCTCCTTTACTGGACTACAGTGATGTTTAAACATAAAAATGCGTAAAGCCCAATGTTCCGCATAAAACAAGAAGTTAATAGACGTTCGTTATATTCATTAGTGTCGCCGTTACTCTAGTTTCCCTTCTTCCTCCTAATCCACAGATGTTAGCATTAACCACGTTTCTCTCCTTGGTCTTTGTGGCCAAGACTGCTAGCCATTCCTCAAAATAATTATTTCTCCTTTTCCTGGACACACAGTCAGACTTTATTTCCCCAGTCTCCCTTGCAATTAGGTGTGGCCATGTGACCAAATTCTGAACAGTGAAACAGAAGCAGAAATTCCAGACTTGTTCCATTAAATCCTCCCACATGTATTCCTCCATGGTCTTTTATCTTACTGGTCAATTGGGAAGTCAGCCTTTTGGAATCCTCTTGGTGGGATGTCAGAGCGATCCTCAGCATGGGTCACTGAACAGCTGTGTGACAAAGGGCCTGACTCCCCACCCAACCACCTGGAATAGTCTTGGTCTATCACACAGGCGAGACACAAACCTCTCTTGTATTAAGCCATTATACATTTGAGTCTTTTACTTGCTGCAGAGCCTCATTTACCCCGGCAAATGCAGGCCTCTTCCTTTTGCTTTTATTTTTGTCTAGGTTTCATTTCATTATCTGACTATACCCCCCAGTTACTTACTATACGCTGGACAGTGCATCCAAAATTTCGGAGTCTTGGTTTCTTCTGCTCTGAACTCTGACACCCTCTCTGATTTATTTTACATTAGTATAAATTTAGTTCCCCCAAAAGACAGCCATGATTATGCCTCTCCCTTGTTCAGAACGCTTAGATGTTTCCCTATTTATAAGATAAAATCCAAATTCGACCTGGCATGCTAGATTCCAATAACAACATCAATCACTCTTTTATCCTTGTCACTTTAAAAAAAACAAAAAAAAAAAAAAAAAAAAACCGGGCCTTGCTCTGTTGCCCAGGCTGGAGTGCAGTGGCATCATCACAACTCACTGCAGCCTCAAACTGCTGGACTCAAGCAATCCTCCCACCTCAGCCTCCTGAGTAGCTGGATTACAGGCATATGCCAACACACTGGGCTCCCTGTCACTCTTCTTTAAACACACCTCGCATTTCCCTTTTTGGTGCCACGTTTTTGTTCATTCTACTGTCCCTACCTGGAAACATCTTTCTCTCTTCTCTACACATGTATCTTGAAATACCATCTCAAATAGTAC